ACCTGCATCCAAAACGGGCCGTGTGGGGACTCCAGGGAGGGGCAGGGTGGGGTGAGCAGGGCTAGCCAGGAGTGGGTTCTCCAAACTGCACAGAATCTTAGCTAGACGTTCTCCCAAACACCTGCAAACCCCCAGCATCCCTCTCCTGCCTATGAATCATGTTTATTATTAGAAGTCGAGTCCAGTTTTATTTATTCTGATAATTGTATTTCCCCTTAAATTGCAGAGCTCTGGACTGTCCACCTTAATCCCCGGTCCGAATTCCTACAACAAAACAAGCAAGACTTTTGGTACAATAGTGCAACTATTTAATCTTTTAATAAGTAGGGATGGCATGTGAACTATATTGAAAAAAAAATAAGTGGATGCATTCACAAAATGGCTCCTGGAGGGAATAGGTCATCTATTAAAAAGCCTTATGGTGAATATACAAATATTTACACATTGATTGTCTTTGGGTGGGGCTAAAGACATAAAGCCAACTGCTTTATCTTTGAAGAAAACTTTAAGAAAAAAATGTTACTGGAGGCCCATATGCGCTTGTGAAAATGAAAGAAAAACATTGATGGGCAGAATAGTTTCAGCTGAAAAGGTGGTTGAGTGGCTGTGATAGGAGCAGGCCAAAAGACTGAAGGGACCCAGCAGGATGGACAAGAAATGGGCACTGCAGAGCACAGGTGGGTTTCAGCAGGTTCTGACCAGTTCTGGAGAACTGGTAGCGGAAATTTTGAATAGTTCGGAGAACCAGGCTGCCCCCCCATCTATTCTCTGCCTCCCAAGTCCCAGCTGATTGAGAGGAAATGGGGATTTTGCAGTAACCTTCCCCTGCTACGCCCACCAAGCCACGCCCACCAAGCCTCACCCACAAAAATTTTTGAAACCCACCACTGCTGCAGAGTCCATGTAGTCACTTGTAAGGGTGAACAATCATGGGGGTGCATCGGGGCCATGGCTTCAAAACAGGGTTGTAAATAGCTTTGGGGGCATCTGGCATAACTTCAGACAGCCATTAAGTGACTGGTAGTATGTAATGGATAACCTGCATGGACAAAGTTTCTAGAACAAATTAGTATTTTTGCTGCATTATGTTATTGGCCATAATCATGACTTATGATAATTTTGTCCTTAGACCAAGAATTAAGGCAGGACTTTCATCGTATTTGGCCTGAAGTCATGTAAGTATATCATGGTACAAAATACAATATTTTCTTTGCAGGAATGAAGGAAGCCGTCCAACTGTTACATAATATACCGAAAGGAAAATAGCCGCTCTGCTCTGCCCATTGTGACTGTTGAAACAGGATCCCTTGTGAAGGATGGAAGTTCACCCAGCTCTGTTTGATCTTAACGCACCTTGGATGAATGTCCAGACACCTTAGATTCCCAAGAGAACAAATGAGGATTTTGAACTCAGTACAGGGGCAGATAAGGGACCAAGTTCCCTGGAGAGCAGCTCATTCCCATTTGAGAAATATGAGGGGTATTGAGAAGTCTTCATAGTGAAAAAAAAATGTTGGTTTTCTGAAGGAAAGATAGGATAGAAACCAAATAAGTAAAATATTGTGAGGATGCCATAGTTATGATAATATTAGACTCTAATTAGACTCTAAAGGGTGGTGCAAGGAGTAGCACAGCCCCCTCCAGCCAGAGCAAGGTAATGGCACTGCTGTTGTAAGGTGGGACGGGGCAGCCTGGGAACAAGTGGGCTGAAGCAGTTTGGGTTCTTCTTACCTGTAAGAAGTCCTATCCCAAAAGTGTTGCAGCAGAGAAAAGCAGCTTTGTTGAATGCTGCTTCTCTCCGCCGCAGTGCTTTCCAGATGGGACTTACAGGTCCGAACCCAAAGCGGTGGCTCACAGCTGCTAAATTTCACTGTGCTGCAGAAGATGCATCAGGCCACTAGCAAGAACAGCGATGGAGAGAAGCAGCTAGTGTCTTGGGGGCAGTGTCTTTGGGCAGAGAGCACGTGCAGTGTCTCCCTGAGTGCCCGAGGCTCGCCCAGCACCAACAAGGACCAGAAGAAGTGGCCATGTTGTGACCAAGGCCAAAGTAGTGATTACCAAACACAATTCAGTCCTCAACAAACTTATTTTATTAAAACAGCTGAGAATGAATTCATTCTCAGCTTAGTCCAAAACAAAATTCTTAATAACCAGTCCATCGGCCTTATCACCAACCTTTGATGTCTTTGGCAATCTGCCAATGGCTTTTCTTGGCAAAACCCCCACAAAGTTCAAGAGACGCTGACAAGAAGCATAGGAATCAACGTTGCTTTTCTACAAAGAACCCAACGGCTCGTTGCTGCTCTTTTAAGCCTTATGGGAGTGGCCAATCATCTTCTAGCCTTACTCCTGAGTCATCCTTTTTGCTTTAGCTGCTCTTGCTTTCTGGCAGCTCTTCACATGCGTGCACTAGGAACAGGCTCCTCCTGTTCCTCTGCCTCTCTGCTTTCTGCCTCTGGACGCTCCGTAGTCCGTGCATTGCTCCCAGATGGCCCTGGCCCCATCTCTGCCTCCGACTCAGAACCCTTATCTGGGCCTTCCCCAGCCTCCAGGACTGGCCTATTGTCCTCCCCAGCCTCCTCACTGTCCGACTCCTCTGCCAGGTCCGCAGGCTGCTGGCGGACCACAACAGGCGCAAGATCAAGCAACATCTTGTGGCCGCTTCTTCCAGTCATTGTTGGTGCTGGGCATGCCTCGGGCACTTGGGGAGATGCTCCACATGTTCTCCCTTTCTTCCAGTGCTTGTGCGGGGAACCCAGGCTTGGAGGAGCAGCAACGGTTTGGAGCTTGTTAAGGAGGACCGCTTCGCCCCAGCCATGCGTTTATCAGCCTGGGCTGCTTGCAGTAAAAAGCATGCAATATGCTGCCGCTAAGCACACACGAGCGCTGGAAGAAAATTGGCCAATGGACAGCTGCAGCCAGAGCTGAGCTTGGTGAAGCAGCAAATGAACTTCAGGACACACAATCTACCCCTCAAGCTCCCAATGCCCAAACCTGTGAGTTGGAAGAGAGATTCTCTGTTGTGCTGTGAATACGTATGGACCGAGTGGGCTTTTTGCTTCCCACCCCCATCTCCCCATCCCGATCCAGCGTGTCAGAGACAGCCCAGTGGAGGCAGAAAATGGGGCGTTTCCAGTGGTGGGTTCCTCCCAGTTCAGTCCGGTTCAGCCGAGCTGGTAGCGGTGACGATATGACATCACCGAACCAGTTCTCCCCCCCACCCTCCCCCCCACCCACCCACGTTATTCTTACCTTTTATTTGGTCCCACACCCAATCTATTGCTGCCTCCTGAGTCCCAGCTGATGACTAGAGGGAAAAAACCTGTTTAAACTCTTGCCGCGGGGCTTCAAAGGGCCGTCCTACAGCTGATCAGTGTTAAAAGCAAACAAATGAGTCGGGTCGTAAGTGCGAGGACTGGTCGTAAGTGCTAGGACCTTCCAGAAATGACTCTGACCAGCTAGCCACGCCCACCTAGTCACATGACCTCCAAGCCACGCCCACAAAATAAGCCATGCCCACAGAACCGGTAGTAAAAAAATTTGGAACCCACCCCTGGGCGTTTCCATTGGCCCTTCTCTTGTTTTCCCGCTAGCCTCCTTTTGCCAGCATGAGCCAGGCAGGCTTGGCAGGCAGTCACAATCTTTAGATGGGCTTTTATTTTGTCAGCCCAAGAGGGTGGGGGGAAAGAAGCACGGAATGATACTGTAGGAAATCGCCCTGTCTTTGCAGCATCAGCCCGCCTGCACTGCCCCACCTTGCCATGAGTGATGTTGAGTTGGCCATGCCCACTCAGTCACATGACAACCCCCAGCCACACCCACCCAACCAGTCACTAGGAAGAACCAGTTGTTAAATTACTTGAATCCCACCACTGTGTATAAGTAAAAACAACTTGTCTTTGGGTTTCTTTTTATTATCAGGGTATATCAGTTTTCTGTTCCTTGGAGTGACCGTAGACTGATTAACATTTCTTCCAATAATACTGAAAACGCGGAAATTCCTTCGAATATGTCTAGAATATCAGAAAATTTCTCTTCTCCATATGACCAACCGTTCGATTATTTAACACAAAACCTTTACTATGGATTCTTTGCCATTATTTGTTTTTTGGGCCTGATGGGAAATGGAATGACAATTTATCTTCTGGCCTTTTCCATTAAGAGGAATTCTTTCACCACTTTCATCCTGAATCTCTCCATTGCTGATTTTGGAGTCATCACATCCCTCATTATGACAGAAATATTTGTGATAGTGTTAACTCTGGGTAAAAGAAATTACATTGTCCAAACCTTTTTCTTCTTATTTTTTGAGTTCTTTTTCTTCACCTATTCTGCCAGCCAGTTTCTGCTGACGGCCATCAGCCTGGACAGGTGTGTGGCTGTTCTTTTCCCTCTCTGGCATCGCTGCCATCGTCCTCCATATTTGCCCACACTTGTTTGTAGCCTCATCTGGATCCTCTCCTTCCTGCTCTCTGCGGTGCACTTCATTCTCCAGCAAACCAGGGCCTTTGGAAGTTCACCTTTCTTTTACCAGCTGATTGTGAATGGTTTACTTTGTATGCCTCTGATGGTTGTGTCCACTATGACTCTCTTGATTCATATGAGGACTAAAAGGCAACGCAATCAAAGGAAACTTCTCACTACCATCTTTCTGGCTCTCCTCTTCTTCCTCCTGTTTTCTCTCCCAATGAATGTCTTTTATGTCCTTGAATATTTTGTTTCTTATAATCCCCTCCTCATGACCATTGGGATAGGATGTATGGCTCTCAACAGCAGCATCAACCCACTCCTTTATTTTTTAATCGGGAGGAAAAAGAGAGGAAAGAAGCAGCTCAGAGCAACTTTTAAGGTTGCTCTGCAAAGAGTTTTCAAGGATGAGCAGGAAAGCTCAGAAGAGCAGCAAACTACAGAGGAAAGCATATTGTGAAATGTCACTATCATTGTATAATCATTTTAAATCCATAAATAATTGGTGGGTTCAGTAAGAAAACTGATGTGATTTACTGAATAAGCTGAACACAAAACAATATAAACAGGAAATATTTATCTATGTATAATTCTCGAAGTGAAGATGTTTGTATATTAATTGTTTTGCTTATATAATTCCTTTTTTTCTTTCCTAATAAGAACTGGTAAGAGGGATGTGGTGGCTCAGCGGCTAAGATGCTGAGCTTGTTGATTGAAAGGTTGGCAGTTCAGCGGTTCGAATCCCTAGTGCCGCGTAACAGGGTGAGCTCCCGTTACTTGTCCCAGCTTCTGCCAACCTAGCAGTTCGAAAGCACATAAAAAATGCAAGTAGAAAAATAGGGATCACCTTTGGTGGGAAGGTAACAGCGTTCTGTGTGCCTTTGGCGTTGAGTCATGCTGGCCACATGACCATGGAGACATCTTCGGACAGCGCTGGCTCTTCAGCTTTGAAACAGAGATGAGCACCGCCCCCTAGAATCGGGAACGACTAGCACATATGTGCGAGGGAAACCTTTACCTTTAATAAAAAACTGTTAGAAATAATTCTTACTGCATGAGATTTTTAAAATGTATAAAACTTATCATTTTATTTATCTTTATTTGTTACATATTTTCCAAGGTTTTGTCCCTAACAAACTTGGAAGAATATATGGCTTGACTAAAAACATGTAAATTTATATGTGTGTATATGCATAATGAAAATAAAGAGAAGGGGAAAAATACAAGATACATTTCCTGAAATAAAATGTGACAATTATGATCCTCACATATTTCAGACATAATATTCAATTATGTTTAATAATAACAGTTCATTATTAATAACTTTCATTTGTTGGGGTTTTTTAAACTATTTATTTATTTTATTTACCAAACATTTATATGCTGCCCTTTTCCCTAAGGACTCAGGGCGGCGAACACAAGTTAAAAACATACAATAATAAAAGATCAAAATGATTAAAACCCAGTTAAAACAACAACAATCAAAATAAGAAAAACCGCAAGGATCAAGGTCAACCCATTTGTTGAAACAGCCAGGTCTTTAAGTCCCGACGGAAGGAGGGGAGATCAGGCGCCATCTGAAGCTCGGTGGGTAACTCATTCCAGAGGACAGGGGCGCCCACGGAGAACGCTCTACCCCTGGACATCGCCAGCCGACATTGTCTGGTCAATGGTACCCTGAGGAGGGCAGCCCTGTGTGAGCGGACAGGATGGTGGGAGGCAGGTAGGAGATGGTCCTGCAAATACCCCGGACCTAAGCCATGTATGGCTTTAAAGGTGAGTACCAGCACCTTGAAGTGGATCTGGAGGACCACTGGTAGCCAGTGCAGCTTGCGTAGAAGAGGGGTTACACGGGAGTAACGGGAAGCTCCCCGTAACCACCTGCGCGGCCGCATTCTGAACCAGTTGGAGCCTCCGGGTGCACCTCAAGGGCAGCCCCATGTAGAGGGAGTTGCAGTAATCCAAACGAGAAGTAACCAGGACATGAGTGACCGTGCGGAGGGCATCTCTGTCTAGGAAAGGGCACAACTGGCGCACCAGGAGATCCTGGCTGAAGGCCCCCCTGGTCACGGCTGTAAGAATGGTCTTCCAAAGACAGTCGGGAATCCAGGAGGACACCCAAGTTGCGGGCTCTCTCTGCCCCCCCCTGCCCATACAAACTGTGAACGACCTGAGAGGTAGGAGGAGAACCACTGTAAAACAGTGCCTCCTACCCCCAACCCCCCAAGTCGCTGCAGTAGGATACCATGGTCGATGGTATTGAAAGCCATTGAGAGGTCAAGTAGGACCAGGATGGAGGAACAACCTCCATCCCGGGCCCACCAGAGATCATTCACCAGAGCGACCAATGCCATTTCTGTGCTGTGCCCACGCCAGAACCCCAATTGGTACGGGTCTAGGAAATCCGTTTCCTCCAGGAACTGTGGGAGCTGTTGCGCCACCACAGACTCAACAACCTTTGCAATAAAGCAAAGGTTGGAGACTGGCCGATAGTTATTTAGTGAGTCTTAATAACTCACTTAATAACTCCAAGGCCGGCTTCTTGAGGAGGGATCGAACCACCACCTCCTTAAGGGAGGCAGGGATGACCCCCTCCCTCAAAGAAGTGTTGACAATGGCCTGGGTCCAGTCTCCAGTCACCTCCCAGGCAGCTGAGACAAGCGAGGAGGGACACGGATCCAGCAAACATGTGGAGGCACCCAGTCAACCCACAATCCTGTCCACTTCATCCACGGAAACAGGGTCAAACTCAACCCAGATACTATTCCCAAGACTTGCCCCAGTTTCCTGGATGGATTCTGCCCAGTCAGAGTCCAGAACGATCCGGATCTGAGCAATTTTATCTTGCAGAAACTGAACAAAATCCTCAGCTCTGCCCTGTAAGGGGTCTTTCCTCGCTCCCTGATTGAGGAGAGAGCGGGTCACTCTAAACAGGGCTGCTGGGCGATTTGCAGGGCTTTGGCAATAGCCATGATGAGAACTCGGACTTGTCGGACTCTAGGAAAGAGCTTTAAGCAACACAGTACATGTCTTAACAGCAGAAGTCGGAGAGTTGTCACACTCTGGTACTTCTTAAATGGATATATTACTTCTGGTATAATGGAGATGATGGTCACTATGAAATCAAAGATATTCCAGGGATTTTTCCAGTATCTCTGAAAGCTCACAAACCAATGCAACCCAATCTCCATCAGAAAGATCTGTAAAATGATCCAAATGATCACCTCCAGGACCCTGGTAATTTTCACATAGGTGATTCCCCTCTTCCCCATGATCTCCATTGAGATCATGAGGACTACCATGTTCAAGAAGATAAGAAAGATGATAAAGCCTTTGAATGTTTGGCTGTTCAGAACTGAAGACACCCACATCTTAAGAGGGGGCCAACGGCTGCAACGCACCTCGATACGGTTGCGCCAGCATTTCTCTTGAGTCACCATGATGTTCCGGGTGGGCACGACATGGAAGCGAACCAATTGGTGGTGATCCATGAGCATCAGTTTCTTTCGCTTCTTGGAATCCAGAAAATCTTGTATGTTATACCGTGGCACCGCATGGCTCAGCCCCTCAAAGTGATCAATCAGGTAAAATGTATAGATCAGCTTTGAGCGAATGGCATCCGCACGGGGATTCAAGTCAAGTTTGGGAGTTTTCTTAGGTGGGGCAAAAGGCAGCATGGCACCTGTTTGCTGCTCCAACTCCACACAGAAAAATCTAGAAGTTCCTCAGTTGTTTCAACAGTGATCTCATAGTTGAGAAGAATGACTCCAACGTTCTATTAAGCTGCCTTGATATCAGTAGGATCTCTTAATTTCTACAATCCATAGACAAGATGTTTGCCCCCACCAATCCATGGAGACCTAGACTAGAAGGAAGACAGAAATTAGTATCTAATGAGTTTAGGGCCATAGTTTATTTAACTTGCAGGAACTTTCAACTAACAGAATTATATTAAAACATAAAGAATAACAGAGTTGGAAGGGACTGTGGAGGTCTTCTAGTCCAACCCCCAGGAAACTCTAGGAAGGTCTTCTAGTCCAACCCCGCAGGAAACTCTATACCATTTCAGACAAATGGTTGTCCAATCTCTTTTTAAAAGCTCCCAGTGTTGGAGCAGCCACAGCTTCTGGAGGCAAGTCGTTCCACCGATTAAATTAATTTCTCCTTATTTTTAGGTTGGATCTTTCCTTCATGAGTTTCAATCCATTGCTTCTTGTTCTGATTTCGGGTTCTTTGGACAATAGGTTGACCCCTTCTTCTTTGTATTGTGAGATCAGCTAGGAAGGTATATCAATTACCAGCTTTTACCTGGGCATTTCCACTCTCCATCAATCAAATAAGGATGATGAAGATACTTTTTTTCCAATCTTGCTTGTTAATCTAAAAAAAATGTAAAGAAACCAACGATGCCTTTTATCTCAGCTGGTGTAGCTGAGATAAATGAAGATAAATCGGCTTAGATAATGAAGTTACCAAAACAGGAAGAATTGCCTTTTAAGAAACGTTTACTGACCATCCCTTGAATAGGAGTCATTTTAACAGAGAAAAATTATCAGGTCTTCACTTAAGATAATGGGAAAAAGAAGACTAGCTCACTTAACAGAATAGCTGTGATTTTGAAAGGAGATGAAGTGTTTAATGTTTATTTAGTTAGGAATCAACTGGCCTGAGCAATCTCATGGGCCCCTCAGAAATCTCACTGGAATTGCTTTATAATTTGGCATGCATGCAAACGCATACCCTATACCTTAAATTGAGCTAATGCACATTTTTGCAAACTCATGCAACTCCTTTGGTTAAAAGCAGAAGCATGGCTAAATATCATGCAGAAATTTTATTTATTTATTTCCAATTTATATACCGCCCTTCTCCCTGAGGACTCAGGGTGGTGTACAGCCAAAATAAGAACATAAAATACAAATATTAAAAAACAGTTAAAATATATATATAAATTTGTCCCAGAAGTTAAGAAATCACAAACCGATTAAAACAATTTAAAAATTTCTTCTCAAGCCAGCTGGGCTTGCTGGGAAAAATGGGTTTTATGCAGATTGAGTTCCCTTACTGGAAATTAGAGAAGCAACACAAGAAGTCACCTGACCCCTCATCAGCCAATAAGAGGAAAGAACGGGATTCTGTTTGGTTTTTGGCGGGAAAAACCTCAGAACACCTTTGGGAAAAGAATCAATGGCTTCCTGGAAGAGGAGTTACCTCAGGAATGATAGGAAACTGCGATTTTGCTATTGTATAGCCACAATTGTACTGGCATTTTGCATGTTTAAAGTGTGTATTCTGTATATGGAAGCTCACTTTCTTTTGACACCTTTAATAAAGTGATTTTTTGTTCCAATCTTGGCTTTCTGGCACCCACCTCAGCTTGGCTTTTTCTTGGCTTCTCTTTTGGATTTAGACAGATTTGGGTGGGGTGTGGGTGTCCATCCTTCCCAGTTCCCCAGGGGACTGGTGTGGAGGAAGGAACCAGTATCTGGCAAAGAGGATGGCAACAGCCATGAGACTGAATTTTTCAGTTGAAAATTTCCTTGAAGCCTAGCACTCAGGCACAATTGGGATATGATTCCAGCCATCCCTCTCCTTTAGATTTAGCCATCACAAAAAACACCCTGAATTTGGCTAAAATGGGATTTAGCAGCTGATAGGTCAATTTGTGGGAATTCAGGCATTGTCTTAAAATATTCGCAGCATGCTCAGAGATCATTCTTAATTGGGAGTAGCATGGTATGTGAACATAGCGACTACAGGTATATTTCATTCATCTGCTTTCAACCCAATTATCAATAAAGGTTGGGTTGAAATATTTGTAGCTCAGAGTTTAAATGAGGGGTCTTTGATGCTCTCTGAGCTTGACTGATCAGATTGAGGATGTTACCTAATTTGGGTAGTGAAATTTTTGCAAGCAAACAATCAAGCTCAGAGAGCATCAAGAACCCAAATACTTAGATAGAATATTGACCGTGTGTGCAATTCTCCCTTCTCTGGTTTACACCTTCTCTACTCCACATGTTTCAGTTAAATGACAAAGCAAGGCATCACGAAACAATGTCTCCTATCAGATTTTGTTGACAATGTGGTTTGAAAATGTATCCTTTCCCTGGAGAAATTTAGAAAAAAAAATGTCAGTTTTACAAGCAAGATGAAAGGATATGGAAAAACCAAGACAAGAAGTTAGTTGGAAAGAGTTGGCAGTCTGACTCTTACATTGATGATTAAAGAAACTTGCTTGTTATTTCCAGTTTGAAATGTTAACTCTGTTCCCAACCTTGGGACATAATCTCAAACATACTAGAACATTAGCTGGTAAATTCAAAAGTTCTAACCTGAAACAAAGAGGAAGTGGTAGCCTAGTGGTTAAGACTCTAGGCTTGTCAACCAGAAGGTTGGCAGTTTGAGACTCAAGTACCGCATGACAGAATGAGCTTCTGTTAGTTGCCTCAGATCCTGCCAATTTAGCAGTTTGAAAGCATGCAGATGCAAGTAGATAAATAGGTAGCACTTCAATGGGAAGGTAGCGGTATTCCATGAACGTCTGCACAAAGATGGCCTTGAGAGACATATTCAGGATCTGTTAAAAAACCCAAAAAGGACAGAAGCCTTCTCTGAGCCCTGGGAAAGAAAGAGAAAAAGTCTGAAGCTCTATCCACCCTGAGTCAGTGGGTTACAAGAAGAGGGGATGAAAAACTAAACTCTAGAACTAAACTTTATGCTATATGAACAGAATCTTGTAGATCTGTTTCCTGATCTGGAGAATTTTCAAGGGCTAACAATGGCAGCCCCCTCAATACCTACTGATTTGATTTCATCAGAAGTGAACTTAATGGAAACATTTCAGTGGAATATTTAGAGTGTTTTTGTTTCCTGAGCTGCATAGAAAATTATTGTTGCTTTCATACTCTTTGGTCTCTAGTGTCTCGAGGGAAAAGATGAAAAAAAGAGAAATCCAATTTCCCCCTTTCTTGCTTTCTCTTCCTTCTACAATGGTACGCCTTAAGGGTAATTTAAACAGGATGTTTAATTGCCCATCAATGGTAATTTAAACATTAAAAAGGTATAACTTTTTCATGCTAAGAAGAATTGCCAAAGACTAATGGTCCAAAATTGAATGGCTTTATAAGGAATGTCTTGAAGTATCGATGTCTCACTCTTTTTGAGCCAAGACCATCGCTGTGTTTACACTTTGCTCACAATCCTGGGAGAAGAGAGGACTTCTTTTGAGGCCAGATCAGGGATTACAGTGAAGAGATCCTGAGATAGGAGAACTCACTAGAATTTGAATATCAAAAGGTAGGTGCTCTCTGAATTTATGCATATGTCCTGTACCTGGAATTTCTCTCTATGATGGATTGATTATGTGCCATTAAGTTGTTGCCAACTCTTAGGAAACACATTGATATTTTCCATTATGTTCTGTCTCTTCTTCTATGATGCTGATTTTCCCCCCTTTCCCATGCCTCCTAATGCTACACCTTCCATTCCCACAATTCTGCTTCAACAACATTTTTAGACTTCACTTGGAGTACAACCATGGGTGAAATCCAGCAGGTTCTGACAGATTCTGGAGAATCAGTAGTGGAAATTTTGAGTAGTTCAGAGAACTGGCAAATATCACCTCTGGCTGGCCCCAGAGTGGGGTGGGAATGGGGATTTTGAAGTATCCTTCCCCTGCCATGCCAACCAAGCCTCGCCTACCAAGCCACACAATGCCCACCGAGCCATACCTATAGAACCGGTGGTAAAAAAAATTGAATTTCACCCCTGAGTACAACACACTACTACACTATCTTTTGCTTCCATCCACATCATTCTCCACCCAAAGGCCAACCTATGGCAACCGAAGGAAGCAATAATTTAGTAAACTTGTATAAATTATGCATAGATATTTTTTTTGTTTAATCTCATCATTTCCCCCCAAACAACAGCAATCACAAATTGTATCTCACTTTTGATACTGAAGGGTTTAAATATTTATACATACACTATAATACAGAAAATAGAAGGAAAATAGAAGGAGAGGCAAGTAGGAAAAAAATATGATACATTTTTAGGACCTCCTTGGAAAAGGATTGATTTTACATTATATTCTCAGCAGCTCAAGGTTGATTCAGCCTTCCAGCCTTCCAGTGTCAGTAAAATGAGGACCCAGATTGTTGGGGACAATATGCTGACTCTGTAAACTGCTTAGAGAGGATCGTAAAGCACTGTGTAGTGGTATATAAGTCTAAGTGTTATTGCTATTATATTTAATTAAAGAGACTCACCTCTGAGTCAAGTTCAATGTACGAATGAAGGCAAATATGTTTGTCCCAGGAATATTGTTGCAGGATCAAATTCAACTCCTGGGGACTCTGTGGATTTGGCAACAGGATAAAATAGTTTGCCATTCTTAGTGTTTTTCAGTTTCTCAAAATAATTCACAGACTGGGATTACTTCTTGGTTAGCCATCCAGGTATTTACCTGGTCCAACTCTGCTGAGCTCTTGGATACCAGCCAACATTGGCTAAATGTGATTCATTTATTAGACATTTTACCTTTGTTATCTCTATAACAGACTTTTCAATAGCAACCAGTTAACTGATAGATCCTTCGTTCAGCTCATCAAGGAAACTGATTCCATCTCTGTCTTTTTTCTTCTTCTTATGCCATCAATGCATAAATCATGGAAAAAAGTAGACCAAAAGCCCAAACCACAGACTAAATAA